GTGAGACTCCTATCTCCAATAAACCACCAGAAAACCGAAAAGTGGCGCTGTAGCTCAAGTGGTAGAGCGCTCGCCTTGAGCTGAAGAGCTGAAGGACAGTGCCCAGGCCCAGAGTTCAAGCCCCACGACCGACAAAAAAAAAAAAAGATTCTCATTCTTGTTCGAAGGAGTGAGAAGCAGGGCACTGGTGGCTCATACCTGCAATCCTAGCTACTCAAGAGGCTGAGATCGGAGGATCACGGTTTGAAGCCAGCCCTGGCAGGAAAGTCCGTGAGACTCCTATCTCCAATAAACTACTTAGAAAAAGCTGGGAGTGGCACTGTGGCACTGTGGCTCAAGTGGTAGAGCACTCACCTTGAACAAAAGAATCTCAGGGACAGCACTCAGGCCCTGAGTTCAAGCCTTAGGACCAGCAAAAAACTGGCACACACTGCGTGAGGGACACAGAAGTAAGCTCTCTTCCCCCTCACACCAATAGTTATACTGCCTAGCTGGGAGGCTTGGCTGCAGTGGCTAAGTGTGCTGATGAAAGATGGGTATTCAAATATGTCTCTGCGTCTTTGAGGAAAGAAAGAAGTGTTTGGGCTGCTGCTGGTACAAGTCAATGGCCCCTCTGTGGTCACGCAGAGGCTGGGCACTCCACATGTCTGTGGTCTCCATGGAGGAGCTTTGCTCTTCACACTGTTTCCCTGACTCAAATAAGTGGTTCTAGGGAGTACAGGGATGCTTTCTTTGATGTTCCATTAGTGCCACAGCATGCACTTTCACGGTAACTGAAATAGAAATGGGTCCCCCTGAACGTAGAAAAAAAGTCCAGTCAGAGTCCATTGTGTGGGATTCTACTACACAGGTCAGTGACCTCCGGAAGTATTAAGGATTTAAAACTGGGGAATGGTTCGTCAGTTCATTGAATAAGGGTACACCTAAACAGAACACAATGTCGTGTTATACATGATCTTTGTAGGTCATGTGGTTGTGGTTGGCTAAGCAGGGGCGGAAGAAAGCAAGACTGATGCCAATGTTCATCCGAAGAGGGTAGCCATGCATGGAACAGAACAAAAACGGAGCTATTCTGCCTAGATGCCACTGGCTAAAAAAAAAACAAAAACCAACCCCGCAGAGGCTGCCAGCTGGGCCTTAACACATACCCTGGACAGCAGCCAGACCTTGTGCTTGGCCCTGCCCTTGCCATTGGTGCTGTTGACTGGTCTGTCCCTGGAGCCATCTGCTTTGTGACCCTCAGCTTGTCACTTCCCCCAGCTTCTTTCTCCTCCTCCATCAGATCTGGCTGCGCCACCCACCCTTATCTACCCAACGTGACAAGGGTCCAACCTTGTGTTTTCTCCTTCCAGAAAATCAAAGAGATAACCTACATGCATTCAGAGGGCATCCTGGCTGGGGAGCTGAAACATGGGCCCCTGGCACTGGTTGACAAGCAGATGCCAGTCATCATGGTCATCATGAAGGATCCTTGCTTTACCAAATGTCAGAACGCCCTGCAGCAGGTGACGGCCCGTCAGGTGAGGTCCTTCCCGGGGGCTGGAGTCTCCCCCTCCCTTCCTCTCTTCTGCATGTGCCCAACGCGTCTGCCAGCGCTGGCTGTGGGTTGTGCTGCCAGTGAGTGGGTGTGACCATGCCCTCTCCTGGACTCCCTTAGGATTAATGTATATATTCTGAAGGGAACTAGGCAGCCTGCAGCCATATCCTACAATGGGCACTCAGGGAGGCCCAGTGACTTAATCTGCACCCACCCCCTCCAGCAGCTTGGGATCCTAGGTGTGGGAAGCAGAGGAGGCAACTCCTGCCCAAAGCCCTGGGTGGGGGTTGGGGAGGAGCAGGTTTCCCAACACACAAAGGCTACAAGATAGCTCTGATGCTAACTCTGCAGCATTGGGTCAGATTTCACAGGTTAAGGCTTCATTCTGCCCCGTGACTGCCTACTGGGGCTTGAACTCAGGGTCTGGACACTGTCCCTTAGTTTTTTTCACCCACAGCTTGTACTCTGCCACTTAAGCCACCCCTCCACTTTGAGCTTTTTGCTGGTTGCTTGGAGTTAAGGGTCTCACAGACTTTGCTGCCCAGTTGGCTTCAAACTGTGATCCTCAGATCTCAGCCTCCCGAGCAGCTAGGATTCCAGGCATGACCCCCTGCCCCCCAGCACCCACCTGTTTCCTTGAGAGGCCTTCCCAGACACCAGCCTTATCTCTTATCTTTCTGTTTTATGGCCCTTGTGGCATGTATATAGAATTCTTATTGATTTGCTTATGATTTTGTTTTTTTTACAAAATTATTTTGTTTTTCCATCACTAGATTTTGAGCTCTATTAAAGTTCAGAATGAGGCCCTTGGGGTAGAGGCTCAAGAATAGAGCACCTGTCTAACAAATGCTAGGCACTGACTTCAAACCCCAGTACTGCCAACAACAACAAAAGTAAAGCTAGGAATGGGTCTGCTTGGTCTTTGGCAAGACACTTGACAAATGGGTGCTGAATCACTACCCATGGGTGACAATCACCTTCCCAGAGAAAGGGAGAAAACACGCCAAGAAAAATCTCATCACTACATCCCTTATCTAAGTCACAGCTGTAACACCACCTGTAATTCCAGCAAAACAAAATTAGCACCATCATGGTAGTAATGCTGAGTCCAGAAACTCTACTGGGTGTGAGGCTGGCTTACCTTCCTATTTTTTTTTACCATGTGTACTTTTATTAAAATATATTAATTGTACAAAGTGGTCTCACTGTGGCAGTTTTATACATGCACATATGGTACTTTGAGTTAATTCTCTCTCTTTGTGTGTGTGTGTGTGTGTGTGTGTGTGTGTGTGCTGGTCCTGGGGCTTGAAGTTAAGGCCTGAGCACTATTCCTGAGTTTGGTTTTTGCTCAAGGCAAGCATTCTACCTCTTGAGCTACAGCTCCACTTCCAGCTTTTTTTTTTTTTTTTTTTGCTGGTTAATTGGAGATCAGTGTTCTCACGGATTTCCCTGCCTGGGCTGGCTTTGAACTGTAATCCTCGGATCTCAGCTTCCTGAGTAGCTAGGACTAGCCCGATGAGCTACTGGTGCCGGTTTTTGTTATTCTTAATTATCCTTTATCCCTGCCTCCCGTGCTTTTTTGTTTTATAGTTTCTATAGGTTTCATTTTGCTACTGTTATACATGGATGTAAGTATTTTCATCCCTCCATCTTCTTTCCCTCTTGCATGACTAATGGGCCTCTTCCAACAGTTCCTTGGTTACCTTCATGAAAGATCTGTTTTATGACCACAGTCCTGTCTGCCCCAGGGTCGCCCGATTATACTGTGCTCCAAGGATGATACTGAAAGCTCCAAGTTCGCATACAAAACCATCGAACTGCCCCACACGGTGGACTGCCTGCAGGGCATCCTGAGTGTTATCCCCCTCCAGCTGCTCTCCTTCCATCTGGCCGTTCTCCGAGGATATGACGTGAGTCTCAAACTTGTACATCATAGAGCAGAGAGAAGCATAACCCCAAAGAGCCTTTCTTTTTCATTGGCACATGTCTTTACATAATTGTGCAGCGCAAGGTGGCATTGCAGTACACATATACAACCTTCAGTTCCTTCCAGTTTTCTTGCTTGTTTGTTTGCCAATCCTAGGGCTTGGAGTCAGGGCCTGGGCACTGTCCCTGTGCTGGTTTTTTTGTGTTTTTTGTTTTTTTTTTTTTGCTCAACGCTAGAGCTCTACCACTTTGAGCCACAGCTCCACTTCTTTTTCTTTTTTCTTTTTTTTTCAATGGTTAATTGGAGGTGAGTCTCACAATTTTCCTGCCTAGGCTAGCTTTGAACTATGATCTGAGGATCTCAGCCTCCTGAGTAGCTAGGATTATAAGCATGAACCACCAGTGCCCAGGTGAAAGTGAAGTTTTGTAACATTATACATTAAGCTAAGTTTTTAACTGTATGCATCATATTCTTTTAATAGCATTAACATAGTATATAGATAGATAGATAGATAGATATACATCAAGTGCATAATAAGTGTTGTTTGAATGAACTACACATTATTCAGCTAGATGAAGCTTCTGGAGTAAGAAATCCACTTCCACAATGCTGATGTTCAGGGAGCTCATGGGCTAGAGGTGACAGGAGCACCTGTCTCCTTGAATTGGAGGAGTCTGATAAAAGTCATTAAAGGAGAGCCTTTGATCTGTGGGATCGTGAGCAGTTCCTGTCTTTCCTTTTAGGTTGACTTCCCCAGAAACCTGGCCAAGTCTGTCACCGTGGAATGAGAACAAGACTATGACCAGACCATCCACCGCCTTTAGTCTAATCCAAGACCTGTTCCAACCGCAGGGATGCAATGCGGGGAGAGAAACAGAACATGATTCCGCGTGTCCCACGTGTTCCTGGTAGAGCTCGACAGCTTCGAAGTGCCTTCTACCCAAGTGCTTTTGCTTACAGCAAATACTGTTTCTCTGTGTCCTGAAGTCACCTGAGGAGAAAAGGGGGGGGGGTGTCACTGATTACACACGGGGATCAGAGCAGACTTTGCCACTACTGTGCAATAGACAATACCGCTCTCTTCTGAGTAACTGTGAACCTTTTGTAACCAACCTTTTGTTTTTTAAAAAATGTATTTAACCAATATTTTGTTTACAAAAAAACAAAATATTTATAATGATGATTGTATAGCTTCTAAGTTATTTTTCTAGTATATGGCTTTCGGTCACCATGGAAACTGACACCCAAGCTGTGCACCTCGGCTATACTACATGCCACCTCTGGGCTTTGGCAAGTAGAATTCATCTTCGATTTGAGCACCAGGCATTGACCTCTGGACTCCTTTCTCCTTTTCCTTCCTCCCTAGGTTTTTCCTGATCCCATTCATCAGCAAAGTCCCTCCAGTTACCCTCTGATGCCTCCTCTAAGTCTTGCTGAAATCTTCTTCCTTCAACATTTCCTTCTCCAATGGGACCCAAATCCCTGCAACCCTCTAATTTCTGCTGAATCAGATCATGGTTGTTTCTAAGTCCAGGCAGCAGTGTGGTCTCTGCTCTCTACTCACAGTAAAACAGCTTGAAATGTCCCATGCAAGAGGATAGTTCCAAGTGGGCTGTCCTATTTTCTATTTAAAAGCATGCACAATCAAACTTACTATGCAATTTTAAGACAATAAAGATGGTACAGTTTGGGGAGGTGTTGTGTGTTTGGTTGATCTCTCTTTTTTTTTTTTTTGGTGTGCACTCTGGATTTTAAGGCCTAAAAGAACTCAGTAGTAAGCCGGGCGCCAGTGGCTCACACCTGTAATCCCAGCTACTCAGGAGGCTGAGATCTGAGGATCGAGGTTCAAAGTGAGCCCAGGCAGGAAAGTCCACGAGACTCTTATCGCCAATAAACCACTAGAAAATGGGAAGTGGAGCTGTGGCTCAAGCTCTCCTGAGCTGAAGAGAGCAGGGACAGTGCCCAAGCCCAGAGTTCAAGCCCCATGACCAACCAAAAAAAAACAAAAACAAAAAAAAACTCAGTAGTGTCTGCTGGGAACAGCCCTCCTTTGCTCTTGAGAGGGTGTAGACAGGGTTTGAGTGTGTTGAAACAATTGTAGTTGAAACATAACCTTTATTCATAATCTCTTTATTTTTAATCATAATCTCGTGGGTTGAAACGTAATCTTTATCCCCAGCAGTGAATCTCAGCATCAATAAAGCCCACCATGAGTTCAGAACTTCTGATCAGCCTACACTGAATCTGAGCACACAGCCCAAGGTCATATGTCAGAGAAATTAATCTAAGGGCTCTCTCTCTTTTTTTTGTTGGTTATGGGGCTTGAACTCTGGGCCTGAGAGCTGTCCCTCAGCTCTTCAGCTCAAGGCGAGTGCTCTACCACTTGAGCTACAGCGCCACTTCTGGTTTTCTGGTGGTTTATTAGAGATAAGAGTTTCACGGACTTTCCTGCCCAGGCTGGCTTTGAACAGTGATCCTCAGATCTCAGCCTCCTGAGTAGCTAGGATTACAGGTGTGAGCCACTGGTGCCCGGCAAGCTCTATCTCTTTCTTTAAAAAAACAAAACAAAACTGGAGATGGAAAATTTTAAAAGAAAAAATACTGGTTATGGCTTCAGAGAGAATGAAAAAAAAGTCTTTGAAACAAATATTCAGTATACTTTCAAATGACCTTGGTCTCTCCCCTCCCTCCCTCCCCCCCCTCCAGCTGAAATGGCTGGCCCAGAAGCAATTACCTTCCAGCAGGAGCAACCACACCCAGAGTACAGACATTGGTTTCTAATGAAACCCCTGGTTTCTCCGGGGACCCCTGGAAAAATGGCTGGGTTTAGTCAAGAAATCCATTAACGCCGGGCGCTGGTGGCTCACGCCTGTAATCCTAGCTACTCAGGAGGCAGAGATCTGAGGATCGCAGTTCAAAGCCAGCCCGGGCAGGAAAGACCATGAGACTCCTATCTCCAATAAACCACCAGAAAACCAGAGGTGGCGCTGTAGCTCAAGTGGTAGAGCGCTAGCCTTGAGCTGAAGAGTTGAGGGACAGTGCCCAGGCCCAGAGTTCAGGCCCCACGACCGACAAAAAAAAAAAAAAAATCCATTAACAGCCTTGAATTTATTACAGTTCAAGTTAGGAAGTACTTCACCCTCTTCCCCCCGCCCCCCATACACACCATGATGGGGTTTATATAAAAAAGACACAAAAGCCAGCTGAAAGAGATCCCGGTAGCCACAGATAGTCATTTGACTAACAAAATAGTGAAGTACTTTTTTACAGTGGGGAAACCTGAACATACCATCTCAGGTGAGCAAGTTCAACATCAGCACTGATAAGGCATGTTAATAGCATGTATCCCGAATGGCTCCTCCCTCTGTAGTCTTCCTCCCCCAAATTCATAACCCCATTATATTCTCAGAAGGGCATCAGGCAAACCCAACTGAGGGACGTTCTTCAAAATACTAGACTTCTTCAAGCTTTGTAGACAGGTCAGTAGTAGATGCTTTAGAAGAGAAAGTTGAAGATATTCCCTAACTGGAAAGGAGATTGATGGCAGAGAAGAAACATTGACACCAATCTAGCAGCTTCAGCCTCTGCAAAGGGCATTCCAGAGAAACAGAACTCTACAACAGAAGTATACTAGAATTCATGAAGTAATTCATGATTTCCTGGAACAGAAAGGCATAAGTTACCAGACTGAAGTGAAGACCAAATCAAGCCAAGACACCATACTGAGTTATTTTAGAACACTTACAAAGGTCACCTACAAAGAAACAGAATGACTTTAGACTCCTCAACAGCAACATTGGAAACAAGTTGATGGATCAACTTTAAAAGTTCACAGGAAAAATTTTCTTCAGGCCTAGGAATCTGTATTTACCCTTGTCTCCTGCTACAGACTCAATGTTTATGTACCCCAGTCCCAAATTCCCATGCTGAAATCTTAAACCATTAATAGGGTCATATTAGAAATAGAACCTTTAGAAGGTGACAAGATTGTAAAGGTGGAGCCAGAATACAATGAAAAGACTTCTGTGCATGAACCAGAAAGTATGTCTTCCTCTGAAAGCAGATCCATCAATACCTGGATCTTGAACTTTCCAACCCCCAGAGCAGTGCAAAAATAAATTTTCATATTACTTTTTGTTGATTTTGGTCATAGCAGTCTGATGAATGACGACACCATCTGTCTCAGGCTACTTTCTATTGCTCCGATCAAACACCACACTCTGGAGTTTTATAGGGAAGAGAGGCTTATTTGATTCATGATTCTGAAAGGCAGTTTTGTGGTCCAGGCCCCTCCGGGTTTGGCGGATTCACAGCTGAGAGAGTCCCAAATCTCTTATATTTTGAGGAATCATGTAAAAACAATCCTCACTTTTTTTTTTTTGTCGGTCGTGGGGCTTGAACTCTGGGCCTGGGCGCTGTCCCTCAGCTCTTCAGCTCAAGGCGAGCGCTCTACCACTTGAGCTACAGCGCCACTTCCGGTTTTCTGGTGGTTTATTGGAGATAGGAGTCTCACGGTCTTTCCTGCCCGGGCTGGCTTTGAACCACGATCCTCAGATCTCAGCCTCCTGAGTAGCTAGGATTACAGGCGTGAGCCACCAGCGCCCAGCAAAACAATCCTCACTTTTAATCCTGAAGCACATAAGCCAAGAGTGTGTAGAGAATCTAATGGTGATTACATTTGTTTTGCACTACTCTAATGACAAACCTGAAGCTAGGTACCTTTGTAAAGAATAGCCCAGAACTTTCCTACTGGCTTTTTCAGTCTGACCCAGAGCTTCCTCCTGTCCAGGAGTTTTTCCTCAATTTCTCCTCCCCATCTAGCAGGTGTGATCAGGTGTCAGTCCTCTCCACAGTTTACATCACGCTTTTGGCAGGATCTCTTCATTTGTATGCTCCATCCTGGATTCTCTGTTTTCATCCCTCCCCATCAGTATCACCTCAGTTCTGCATCCATACATGCTCATTATATTTCATAAACCAGATGAAAAAAAAAAGCAGTGTCTTGGAATGTCATAGAAAACGGCAGGAAATAGGTCTAGGAGTGAATGTATACAGTGGTTTTTGGTAATTCACTTCTCATGAGGTGAGTGCTATAAAAGCAGGCCTAGAGTATTTGTCTAGGTAGCTGTGGTCCCATTCTAATATGAGAGGAAGCGCCCGAGAGTTTCTTGGTGAAAGCACAACTCTGGCAGCCAAGATTTTACCGGTTTCCCCTAATGTCAGTCATTGATGCTCTGTTTTCTTCTGCATACCTGAGATGTGGGTGGCAGGTGATGAGGACAAGTGTGGACAGCAGAAAGACCTTCACACAGGCCACCACTCAAAAGCTGAGAGAATTTTAAGCAGGAACGAGCCATACTTAATTTTAGAAAACTCCCTCTGGTGGCCAAAAGGGGACATTACGGTTGGGGCCATTCCTTTACCCCACCCCTCCTCTGAGGCCTGCTCAGCCTGACTCAGCCCTCAGCATCCTTGGAAGCCGGGAGATAGGGTTCCTGCAGCGCTGTATGCCAATTCTGCCATGTCCTTGGGTCCTTTGACTGGTTCTGATCATTCTTCCATAATCTCCTTTCGTCAGCCACTGACCCCAAAGGCCTACCCACCTCCAACTCCCAGCAGGCCACAGATCTCTGAGGAAATTTCCCAATGTGTCTAGTCTTTCTACTTTACTAACAACACACAGAGTTGTCCCCCCACCCCACTCCACCTTTTTCTGCAGACAGAGGTGTCACAACTGCCATCAAGAACCTTCTCCCCACTACCAAGTGGGCTTGCTGGGCTCTTGGTCAGCTCCTCTTACCCCTCTCCTACAAACCCATTCTGCTCTGCGTGAGGGCTGCAATCCTGCAGCAAGCAAGCCAGAGGCCCAGGCCCTGCACTTTCCCCCCCTCCTCCCAGGGCCACTGGACGACGACGCCGGGTTCCAGGACATCGAGGCCTCGTGGTCCTCCCCCAACCCCATTCCTGCCACTCCTGGGCTCCGCGTGCGGCTTTGAGCCTGGTCCTCCCCGCTACTTAGCCCACCCCCCTCACTCCCCCACCCCCCAGTCCCCAAGGCGGGCTCAGGAGCCAGGCCGAGCCATCCACTGTCTGAGTTTCCAGCCCACTGCATGTATGGCGCGACCCCGAATGCAGGGGAGGTCAGTGTGCAATTACAGCTGAGCAGCCTAGAGGTGAAAAACCTTCC